GATCATTCACATAAACTTAGAGGACCATTGTCTGCCAACCTTATGTATGTTCTTGGATACACTCCCCATTTCATAGACATACCTAATAGTTCAGCCTGTCCACGCATCTATCCACCCATATACCCATGCTTGCCTTTACTGACAACACAGTACCGTATGTGCAAAAAGGTTCATATTTGTTATCTGTACCTCCCATGTACCTCTCTATGTCTTTCTCATCTGGAGGTTTTGTTTTTGTTTTTGTTTTTTTTAGAATGGAGTTTAAAGAATATGTATGTGTGTGTGTAATATAAGCATTTTTGTGGATTCATGGAGCTTTTGACACCAATCAGCCAGCCATCTGCCAACCCTACCTTTACAAAGTCTTTCATGTAGCAATGATAATTGAGGGAGTAAAACCATGCAATTTTAAAGCTGAAAGGAGCCTTGTTGTTGCTTGGTGCTGATGAGCCAGCTCTGACTCATAGCAACCCTGTGCACAACAGAACGAAACACCACAGGTCCTGCATCAGCCTCATAATCCTTGCTATACCTGAGCCCATAGTTGCAACCACTGTGTCGATCTATCTCGTTGAAGGCTTTCCCCTTTTTCACTACCCTTCACTTTATCAAGCATGATATCCTTCTCCAGGGCATGGTCCCTTCTGACAACATGACCAAAGTAGGTAAGGCTTAGAAATCATCTAATCCATCTTTCAGAAAGCAGAGATGCCCACAGTCATACACACCTCAGTGGTATTAAAATCTAGAATAAGAACTTCGGTCTCCTATAGCCTAGTCCATTAGACTTTCTACCTCATTCATCTCCTGCTAAGAGACAGAACAAAGATGAGGTAGAAAAAATTTCTTCTATTGAGTTTTATTAATCTACCAAGAAATAAAAAAAGTCTATGTTCACATAATAAAACTTTTTTTAAAAAAAGGGAAGTCTTCTTCTCTCATTGAAAATTTAGAAAAAACAGGGAACTGAGCATTATTTATTATTTTTTAATAAACATCACACTAAAAAGGCTTTTAGTAAATATTAATTTAAAAAGTGTTTCACAAAATTCTAACACTGATTGCCTTTAGAGTGGTGAACTGGGTAGCTGGGAACAGGGATTTTTCACAGTAAACCCATTGTAGCTTTTGGATCTTAACCATAACAACCTATTACCTATTCCAATAATGAAATAAAAGTTAAAATTTATAAAAAAACATATTTTAGTTCCTGTTCTGGTTACCTAGTGCCACTCTGAGAGAAATATACCACAAATGGAATGGCCTTAACAAACAGGAGTTTATTCTCTTATAGTTTGGAGGCTTTAAGTCCAAGTTCAAAGTGCCAGGCTGTCAGGGTTGAGTGAAAGCCTCTCGATCTTGGGGTCCAGCTCCGCCTCCTGCTCCCAGCCCATTGGCGCTAGAGACGTTTCTTCACTCAAATAGCTACTGGCTGCTAAGGCTGACAAGCCCAAGGTTGACAAGTAAAAAGGCACAGTCCTGATGTTACCAAACTACCTGGCATTAC